TTGTGTGTTATAATAGCCTAATCATGTAGACGGGCAGTAACATCTATACAAGTAATCTACTAGGTTGGAAGAGTGGATGTAATTATTTATAGCGGTTTCAGGTAGTTTTCAAGGATTAATTTAGTAAACAACTCATCTTATTCCATTATGCTCCATTCCCTTTATGATGAAAACAAACAGCTATACTCATTTTCATACTGCATTACATCCATAAGCAGAGTTCACTTATACATGAGACGTTGAAAAGCAAGAGCTCTATGAATTGACATAAGTAGACTAAGAAAAATGAAACCTGAAGATATGTAAAATAGGTGACCTTTTTCATATATCCAACTTGGATCCAAGAAGAAACTAAATTCAGCTAAAGTTCTGAACCAAATAATTATTGTTCACCTCCACTAGAATCAAAAACGGAAAATACAAGGGATGAACATTTAAAAGCAATGCTGTGAACTTCAGTACATTAATAGAGTAAGTTGCAATTCAATTATCAATCAATCAGAGCAACTAAATCAACAAATTTTCCTTCCTACTACACACTGCTACAAATTTTCTAAAGAACATCCAACCTGAAACCCAAATTAACACATCGACATCCATTACTATTTACTTCTAGCTAAGATAACCACACACTGCTTTTCTTCTTCTTTGTTATAACCCTGAAATGCTCAACAAACTTCAATTCAAAACCTGTGCCCCATTCAAACCCTACATTCTACATTATAAGAAAAGCATATAATCGCAGAAACAATGCAGTACAATCTAATTCTAATTGATTTATCCACTAGATCAACAAATTTTATTTTTGAACATATAAACCGTAATAAAAGCTACAAATTCTACTAAACATATTCCAGCTATCAATTTAACAATAACATAAACAAAATTTCTACTGGTTTATACAACACAATCCATCCATTCAAAATAAACATTCAAATAAATATAAAAAGAAAAATAATTACCTCAACCAAATTAGGGTCAAGTGAAGCCACGGTTTGAGTATTGCCTCCTTGATTCATCATCTCATTAACATCCTAATTTTAATTCAGTGTAAAAAGTTACATGACAAAGCCAAAACCCTAAATACGAAACTGAACAACTCTTAACCTTCCAAAATAAAACTAAAATAAAACAAAATAAGAAAACCCTTCAAAATCGAGTAACTTCAATTTGAATGATCTTGGGATCAAAGATAATAAAATCAACGAAAAGAACAGAGAAAAGATTCATGAATTTATGTGTAAAAGTGTAACTTATTTAGAATTTTTTTTTTTTTTTTCAAAAATTAGTGAATGAAGAGGCAAGTAGAACAGAGTCAAACGAGACGGAGACCCGATATAAAGAGAATCGTAAATAATTTTTTTACGAATCGGACAAGAGAGAGATTGAAGTGGGTTTGTTTCTCTGTTGGGGGCGTCTTTACATAACGTTGGCGGTAGAGAAAGATAATTATTGTGTGTTAACGGGCTTTGATTTAGATAAAACAATTATTAATTAGTAATAATTATGTTTAGCCTAATTAATTAATTATTTATTTACCCTACTCTCCTAGGCTCATAAGTGCATATTTCTTTTTTATTTTTAATTCTTTATTAAAAAAGAGAAAAATAATATTTAGGACCATTCATATATGATATATGTCTGAATGTCTCTAATTAATCCAATAATTGATAAATGATATTTGAAGTTTACTTTAATGGGTCAAGTCTTGTATTAAAATTTGATAACAAATTGGCTTTATTTTGATGGGATATTACATAAAATCGTCCAACGGGGTAATGGTAAAAGGAAGATTTGGGGGAGAAAATAAGAACATGAAAGCCTTATACATACATATTTATGATTTCTTGATCATATATTAGAATAAAAATCTCTTCTGATCTTTCACAATTGCCTTTGAAGTCTGAAGCCCTATGGTTTTGGGACTTACTATTAACAAAATCAAACCCAAATCTTCTATGTTAATCAAATGAGCCCATTGGATGCTCTATATAAAGCAGGCCCAAGGCCATTTTCTTAACTTGGGTGCCATTGTTATAATTGTTGTATGTTTTTTTTTATTATTTTATCATTGAGATGTCCAAACCAACTTGCATGCACTTTAACTATTCATCTGAGGCTCTGAAACTGCTGATTGGATAAGAATTTCAGTGGCACCCCAATTAGTACCTGGAGAAACTCGAATTCAGAAACTCATAGAACCTCCTTTTGCTCTTTTACTATCAAATCATCCGATGGTGGTTATAATTGTTGTATGTTATTATATTGGAATGAGGAAGTTTTTGTTGGGTGTCTCTCTCTTAACAAAGAACCAATAACAAAAAGAAAATCTATTATCTATATGACATTCCAACTCTATGATTCAACCAGTAACTAAAATGGTTCTGTTTTATGAACATCTTTCACCATCCTTGGAGAGATAGCTACTGATAGATCTGAAACAAGTAAGAAGACATTACTCTTGTTAATCCAAAGTGACGGATAATATGAAATTAGCCACATCATGTCAGTAGTTAATGCACTTATCATGGTTAGCACATCCATTGTGGTTAGAAGTTAAAATCTCGTATCAAAGGCACGTCCGAAATATGTGCTCATACTTTCAAAATAGGTCCAACATTTACTAAATTCATGCTAAGAGGTATGGGGATAGCAGTAACAAGATATTGCACCTTGAAACTAATTAAGGTTTTCATATATTAGTTACAGTTGTGTTTGGTGGACTGTGGACAAGTTTAATGTGCTCTTGTACGGTCACTTTCGGCATTCTGTTTCACTGGTTCCGTTGGGCAATGAATAACATTGATAAGCCTGCCAAAGACCCGCAACAAGCAGGTTCACCGTTTCCATTAACGAGCCTATAAATAATGGATGAGTAAATAACTATTCCCACCCAAGGTTTGACGAAATCTCAAGTTGGTACCCCATGTTACATTTATTCCAGATTCTCATCCTTAAACGGAAAAATGTTTGATATAAAGGTAAAGGGGTAAATTGGTCATTTTACGTGGGCAGCGCACATTAGTAGGTTGTTGCCTATAACGGTCCTTCGACGCATGTTAGCAAACGGCGTCCCCTACATTTTTCGCCATTTTTCCAACAGTTCTTTCACCCAAAATCACCATTGTCATCACCATTTGAACCTCCATCCTCCCCTCTACAAAACCATACCCTTCACAACCTCTCATCACTCACTGATCGACCACGGCAACCGCGACCTGCGACTGGTTTTTACTGGTTTTCGACCGTTTTGAATGGTGAAAGCCCCAACCACCACCACCATTTGACTCCTCGCATCCTCTCCCACAAAACACCTAACCTTTCTAACCATGGCAGCTCACCGTTTGCCGTCCACCACTTCACCAAAAAACGGCCGATGAACACGAACTCTCGGCCAACGAACGACGACGAAACGATTGTTGGGGACATAGGGGTTTTATAGATTTGGAGACGGTGGTTGTAGTGGTGGTGTCCAATTGGATGTTTGCCATCGGAATCAACCGGAATCCAGTGAAGGACATCGAAACCCTAAGCCTAACAACGCCGACGATTGGAGGGGCCAATGAGTTGGAAACCAGAAAGGTTTTGGACGATAGATTACGAGAAAGGTGATATTGGTCACCATGGGATTCGATGTCGTCGAAAACAACCCAGATCAGACTGTTTCCAACGAGAGTGTGTAGTGACCGAGGGTGTTTTTGACGTAATTTGAAAATAAAATGGTAAGTTTAATTATACTAATTTAAATGTTAAAACAGAATTTATTAATTTAGAGTTAAGGACATTACGATAATTACACCTTTTAAACCCTAAAAATTGTTAACACTTATTTTAAAAGTGAGAATTTAGATTAAATGTAACATGAGATATGATTTCGTCAAACTTGGGTGGGAATATGTCGTTTACTCATAATGGATCAAACGCATTTAACTACAAATGAAAAAAAAAAAAAAAAAATGGTTTTCCATCTGATCTACAGACTTCAGTCCAAACAAATGCCTGGGTCACATCACATGTCTGGAAAAATCTGGAAACAGTGTAATTCCGATTTTCTGAATACATGTACCCAACAAGTCAAGAGGATAAATATCCGCAGCAAACTTTCTCCATTGCCGCAATCAACATTCAACACTCTCTGTCAGCCGGTTAAACACTTTCAAACAATGTGCCAGATAGAGAAAATAATGTATTCAATTCGGATTTGTTTAATTTTNTGGGTCACATCACATGTCTGGAAAAATCTGGAAACAGTGTAATTCCGATTTTCTGAATACATGTACCCAACAAGTCAAGAGGATAAATATCCACAGCAAACTTTCTCCATTGCGGCAATCAACATTCAACACTCTTTCTGTCAGCCGGTTAAACACTTTCAAACAATGTGCCAGATAGAGAAAATAATGTATTCAAATCGGATTTGTTTAATTTTGAAAAAAACTCATTGGCTCTCAAAGTCATCAAGTCATGATCAGAAGAGGCAAGGATATTTGTAGTCAGCAAAATTGCAGTCAAAACCAAACCCTATACCCTTCCAGAATAACCATATTTTGACTTTACTGCTTCAGGCATAACAACACTATCAAATTCTATTGAACAGTAAAAATCTATTCATCCCAATTTCCTATCCATGTGGTCAGCAAATTGAACTGTCATCTCCAAGTAAGCAGAAAATTTCATGAGTAATTAACAGTGTCCTCATAACACAGTCAAATTCTGAAAGTGTGGATTCAACCTGCTGGTAGCATTCAATTGAATTATACACTCAGGGCAATTGGATCAAAACAAGAGTTGAAAACATAGGGGAGAAAACAGAAGCCAAATTGCGTCTGAAAGTCATGGTTCGCAAGCCAATATAATGTTCAATTCAAGAAAATCCACAATCAGAGTGTTCACATACTGCATTGTCATAAACCAAAAGCTCTCCAACTCTCAACACAAGCTAATCTTTTTATTCTACCTTCTTCCAACTACAACTTCCAGAATTTTTTTTTTTTTTTTACTGGTCATGCTATTACTACTATGGTTTAATGAATGTCAATGAAGAAGATGCTAATTAAGAGGAATGATGAAAACAAGATAAAAACCAATTCACAGAGTGGGGATCCACAGGAGGGAAGCAGCGGTAACCTGAAGCAAGTCTATCAATGACAAAGCATAGGATCAATCCTATCTTAGGTTCTTCACCACTCCTAAAATGGAAAACTACACTTCAGCCTGCTTGCTAATCGTTGATCAGTCCCCACATCAGCACATGCTTCAGGTACTGCTTACTTCTTTCTTTCAATTGAAGTACATGGTAGGAACAGTACAACAAATGCAGAGAATCAAAAGAAAGCAGTGTTGGGTTATCTTATTTAATTTAGGTCGACATCTCTGCAGTTTTTCCCCGAGTGTGCAGCTCATTGCTAAATGAACTTATATCATCAAACAAATCACAAAGTGCAACCAGAAATATAACCAGCCACTTACCACTAAAGCAGGCAATAAGTTGATGTTGACAATTAATATGGATATACCAGCCAACGATGAAGCGGAAACAGTCAATAAATACAGCTGATAACATAGTCAGTTTTGTCCAGAGCTCAAAATCAGTTTTGTCCACTGAGTATTGACCCAAAAATGGCAACTGACCTCTCAAAAGTTTGGAGACGAAATCAGGACAAGGCTTAACAATTGGTTGATGTGAATGCACAGTTCCATAAAGCATAAAACTTCCATTATACTCAATGGGATCTTCAATGTGAGTAAGACAATGGCAGCTATGTTTCAAGGATCCAGGAAAGACATCATCATAAGTCTACTCTAAGAACAACTTATGTTGCATCCTTCGGAGCTCATATCCCTTCAATTAAAAAAATCACCACACAAACTATTCAACCAAACAGCCTCAATACACAACTAAAGTTTAGGGAAAATACCTAAGCATCTACATTGCACTTCAGGTGAAAGCAAACGTGGAAGTGTGAGAAAACCTGCACTCAGGATACCTCAGCCAACCAGAAATCATGTTAACCTAACAGAGACAAATCGCTTAGAATTATATACAATCTGCACATAAACTTGTAAATCTTTATTTGGTAATGAAGGTAGATCACATTGAAAGTACTTTATGAAAGCTTCAGCACCATAACTGATGTGTATAAACGGACTTCTCATTGGAAGTGTGTACAAGCATTACCTCAATGCCGAATTGAAGGATTCATGTGTAACCCAACAAGAGGAATGTGAAGAAGCATATCAAATACTAAGCATTTCACTTTATTGATGGCAGACAAATTAGATCAAAGTTCCAATTGTTTGTTGCTGCATTCCTGCTCTGCCCCACCAAGCACTATATTTAGCACATAAAGCTTATCATACCATACGAAAGAAGGATGACCACTGAAGAATCTACAGATACTGAATTCATTAAAATGATCTTCAACATATATAATGTGCCACCATAATTTATGACAGTACAAAACTTGCTAAAATGGAACTCAAGAACTGCAGCTGGCATCCAAAGTTAGAGAATAAGAAACCAGTAATAAGATTCAAGAAGAATTAACCATCATGGTACTAGAACCAAGGCTATATACATGACGGAACAATGAAGCACTTGTTGCAGACATGTAGTCTCAGACCACATTGTCATCTACCATTGCTCTCACATTTGGACCAAGACCATGTACCCGATAAAGCTGTAAATTACAGATCAGCTTCCTAGTACACATCCAGCATCCAGGCTCATATAAAATCAAAACTTTTTCCTCTTCATTCGTGACATATCATCAAACCCATTGTCATGCCACACCTGCCCACCATGCCTATAATTTCCTTCCTGCTCTTCAATGTTTCTAGTTCTCCTTGGACCATTTCCAGGTCGGTTCTTAATCCTTCTATCGAATTCCCTTTCCCTCAAATTGCCTCTTTCATGAAACTCTGGACCGTCTTCAGGACAAAACCTAAAAGTCCTAAGGCCATCTCCCGCATTTAAATGAAAATTCTCACCCTCAACACCATTATAAGGAGGTCTAAAAGGCCGAACAGGTCCCCGTCTCTCACCAAACCTTCTTCTCTCTTCACCAGTTCCATCAGCACCAAGTTCCTGAAACCGGCCAGGATGCATGGGCCTCCCAAAATAATCATCACTGTCTGTCCTTTCACGAGGATCAACAATGTCAAATCTCCTAGTGTTTCTGAGTAAAACCCTGCCAGATGGACTCCTATTAGGCATGGCAGATCTTGGATGAGCCAGATCACGACTAGAATCCATATCCCTTACCTCATTAGGTGGTCTAGACATATATGGAGAACCATGCCTTCTAACTACCATTTCTCCAGGGAAACAAGAATGATCAGGAGATCTCATCCTCTCCATCCTATAAATTGGAGGAGATCTCCGATTAGGCAATTCAGGATGTCCACCAAATCCATCCGGGGATCTTCTCCTGGGAGGTGACCAAGTACCAGGTGAGCGAGTCCTAGAACCAATTGGAGATTTCGAACGAATACGAGGAATACCCCTTCTTTGCATGGGCAAGAAATTCCTGTTGCTTCGGACAAAATGACCATCTAATCCCTCGTAAGGAGCTTGGGGATGTGTAAACATTGGGTCTGTGTTGTCATTAGGTAGACCCCTCATGAACTTCTCACCGCGCCTCAGTCCAACCAATTCAGTACCATCTTGACCAATGCATCCACTTGGGCTAATATTTCTTGGAACTCGGCGAACCATATCAAGGCCACGTCCATGAGGCCCCATTCTCCCCCCGGGAGACCTCCTCCTTGGTAGATGACGAAAAACCGGTGGCTCATCATTTAAAATTTTCCTCCCTCCCCTACCAGTACCAACAAAAGGACCATTTAGCCCAGCATTATAGCCATTAAATTCTGGATCAGGCTGTGATGCATATTTATGCCTGGGAACATGGAACTCTGCCGGACCATTATAAAAGTCTGGAGCAAAGTCCCGTTCAGAATTCCAATCACCTTGTAGTGTGTCTATTCTACTGGAGATTCTCCCTCTGCCACGCACAAAATTCAATCTAGAGTTCCTAGATGGATGGTCTTGATGCCTCTCTCTTGAAAATTTGTGAGAAGCATCGGTATAAATTTCATCCCTGCAAAAAGCAATAAAGAAAAAAATATGAAATGAAAGTACATCGCTTATATCATCTAACTAACTTACCAAAACAAGGAGGGGAAAGAAAATATAATGGTAATAATAATCACCTCCCTCGAGGATGTAATATTTCTCCCTCGAGTGCAACGTCGGTTAACCTTTCCCTCCCAACTCGGGGAGGCAATGGCCTGCCTGAAATTGTTCTTGTTTGACCAGGTGAGGGCATGTTAGAAACTCGAGGCAAGTTTATTATCCGGCTTTTATTTCCTCCACTGCTAGCATCCTTAGCTGGATCATCAATAATTGAAGATGCTTCTGCCTTGGGCGATGGAGAAACACTCTTTTCCACCACATCAGTTCTTTTAACATTCTCATCATATCCTTGAGCAACAGCAGCAGAATTTCCTTGGCTTGAACTAGTGGCTTGATCATATGACAGTTCAGTCTCCTGGCCCTTTAGGCCATCTTTCATATTCAACATGACAACAGGTCTTATCGGAGAGGCCCTACCACATCTCTTCTGGTCACCTTCGTTGGCAAGCATCTCACCTGCCGATGGTTTTTGCAAAATGGCGTCGTTACTACCAGCACCCTTACTGTCCTTCTCATCATGAGTTGTTTCAGAAAATTCTTTCATATTATCATTGTTTGTTTCACTGGGCTCTTCTGTTTTAGTGGGTTTATCTTCAACAGAAGATGATGTGGAAGGCCGATCACTGGGAGGTCCCACAAAATCCAGTCGTTTATTATCAGAAGAATCACCACTATCGAAGTGTTGTAGTTCTCTTTATTCACATATGGGTCCCTCCTGTTCAGTATGTGCCAGTGGTTCCCGAACTTCACCATCCTCAAAGTCTTCCTCTCTTCCATTGTTGTGTTCAGCATCCATAGCTGTTTCTAGATTATGATTGGCATCAGACTCATAATCAGAACCATAAGAATCTTCTTCTAGCATATCACCTGATAAATTGATCTTCTCCTCATCATCACTTGCAGAACCCTCACCATTTCCTCGTGAATTAGGAGGAACCTCTTCCACGAATTTCAATCTGCACTGCTCAGTATCATCAATGTTTTTATCTTCGGCTATTGCAGCATCTACCAAGCTAGAAACGTTCGACACATTACCATCATAACCCACAGATGCAGACACTGTTTCTGTAAGAACCTGTCTAGCACTTTCAGATTTTTCCCGAGACACCTCCCTGCTAAGATTGTTTCCCTGAGGCACCTCCCTACTAAGGTTTGATGCATTACCATCAAGACCCACAGGTGCAGACATTGTTTCTGTAAGAACCTGTCCAGAACTTTCAGATTTTTCCTCAGGCACCTCCCCACTAAGATGAGATCCTTTCCTGTTCATAGAATGTTCAAAAGGGTTTGATACTTCACCACTTGTAGACAAGGCTGCTGAACTAGTAGTTTTTCCTCGAATATCCATAGCTTCTACCATCTGCTTATCTGATTGGTTTGATGTCCCCTCTGTTTTCTTGAGTGTTTCTCGAATATCCTCACGAACTGGTTCAGGTTTTATGGACCCAGGATCAACTAATTTCAGGGAGCTAAACTTAAATGGTTTCAAGGCTTCAGGATTACATCTTTCAACTAATTCGCGTTTCACTGCTCTAATATCTGGTAACCCCTTAGGAATGGGCGTAGCTCCTGTGAAACCATGTTTGATGCTCTCATCAAGTGGTTCTGATTTTACATTCCTAATATTAACCGGGTTCAAACTGCCAGTTAATTCAAAAGCTTTGCCCAAGCCTGAGTTAGCAGTACCCCGGCCTGAATTCAACATAGCTGATAAACTGGCAGGTTTCTGACTAAGGTTTGACAAAGAAAAAGATGGACTGAGCCCTAAATGAAGATTAGCCTCAGAATTGCAAGGCTGGCCCAACAGATGAGATGATAGATTGCCATCAGATCTGCACTTGTTCTTTTCAAGAATTTGTCCTTTTGAAGTAGCACTATCACCAAATAATCCGACAGAACAAATCAAAGGCTTTATATCATGTGTTCCACCAATTGTGTTACATCCATCAACAGTTCCTTGACCTGCAGCTTCATCAACCACAGAACCATTCCACGCATCCATGGTAGTATTTAAATCCCAGTTTGATCTATTAGCATGCATATCGGCATTAGTATTCAAGTCAACATTGTCAACTTTGCATTGATTACTATTTCCTCCTTTGTTTAAAGACAAACTCAATGAAACTGGTCCTCCACTCTCATGATTCTGATGACTCCTTTAACCATTATGACCTGCCATAGCTGAAACAATATGTTCATTTACAGCCAATGACAACTCAGTAATCCCAGGAGTTTTAACAAATTCTGATGTACTCTTTTCCACCATTTTTTGTTTGTTGGATAGATCCTTTCCTAGGGTAAGGGCAGGAGCTTCAGTCAGTGCTAAGTTCAACTCGGCTTTCGCTGATTTTATCATATTGGCCGATTTTTCAGCCCCCACAGGCTTCTCTTTGCTGTCCACATCAGCCCTGGAAATAGAGTGAATTGTAAGACTTGGTTGTTCAACCTTGATGCTATAGGTTTTAGCACTGCTGTTAACCATTTTAACATTTGTTGCATCAGGATTTCCCTTTCTTTCCGCAAGAAGTGATTCCTTGTTTGCATCAGATAAGCCAGATGAACTTGGCCCAACCTTAGCATTTGATAGAGCTGACCCTTGAGATGGGCTAGAATTTTCCTTTTGTAGCAAATCATTTATTACAGATTGTTCTTTGGCAGGAGGTGAAGGAGGCCGGATTAGCGGGAACCTCCTTTTCTTGATAGGAACACCTGCACTATAATTACTAGACATTCGGACAACAGGTTTCAATCCAGTCTGCCAATAGAAGATTAGGTAGTCAATAACCCGATACCAAAACAATTTGCATAAACTTCTCTAAACTAGTCATTAGTAATTTCTAAAAAGTTTAAAATAAACACCTCTTCACTTCCTGATACTGGAAAGCCTTCAGAATTTGCTACTGTTATAACCTTCTTGCTATCTTATAAAAAATAGTCCAAAATCAACTTCTAGCAAACATATCCGATGCTATTTTCAAATCCACTTTGACCAATAACCGAAAACAATTTTAGGTGCTTAGTTGCAGGAAGTATTAAACAGTCTCCTAGTAATCGTACTCAATCATTAAGAAAGCATCTGCAGACAAAAGGATGAAAACCATACTGTTTTAAACCCCATAATATTCAATAGCTCAAAGTAGCCATTTGATGATTTCTCATAGTTAAATAGAACAAGACACGATCTGAAATTATCTAAATATATCAAGAAATGATCGACTACACAGTTGACACAACTAGATGCATCTTATTATATCACAAAATTGAAACAGTTCAATTACAAAGAATCATAAACATCGACAGCCATCAAGATTTAAAGAATTTTCCAAACAAACTGTATCCACAAACTCAAACTAATTTAAATCAATCAAACAAAAAAAAAAAAAATCTTAAAGAAATCAATACAATAACAATTTCCAGGAAACAACTAAATGAAATCAAAATCAACACGTACCGTTGACCGATCAAAAAGCAACAAATGGATGAACAATAATCCAAAACTAATTGGTGAACACAAAGGTATGAAAATGGAAATTGATCGAGAAACTACCTAACCGATAGAAGCAAAACTCAGATGCTCTTTTGCGCAACTCCAAGGGAATGACTTAAAGAGAGAGAAAAGAATCTTAAGTAGCGTGTCTTGCAATTTGCTTTAGGGTTAGGGTTTCTTGGGGATTGTACTAAGGTGTTATTTATAAACTAATAGGTCATTGAGTTGCATTATTAGTATCGGATCGGCTTGACCTTTTGGCTCATGTTTTTGTTGGTGTATGTGACGGGTGCGGTCCTTATCATACTTTGCCGACCGGGCATTCAACTTGATCTTGACACGTGTAAATGTGATAACACCTTTGTGGAATTTTCATGTGAAGTGGCCCCACCACTTTGTTCATTATTGAACAAGTTGCGATATCATAATGGAGCAGAGTTACTTCATGGAAAAGTAAATAGAGAAAGATTCTTTGCTTTCTTTCTTCGGTGAAGTTACTCTTCACTCCTTAAATTATAGTAAGAATTTCCAAATCAATTTTTTTTTGTTTTCCTGTGACCAAGGTTTTTTTTTATTATTATTAGGATCTTCGAATAATTTGTGTGCCGTTCAATTAATTTTTTTATCTTGAAATTAATGATTAAAATCTTTTAAATAATACAATTAAGAGTTTTAATTGATCACTCAACAATAATTTAAAAAACTAAAATGTTCAATAATACAAACTTTATTTCTATTAATAAATCAGAACATATTTGTCAATCAATGAAATAAATAAGCACTTTTTTGTATTTTTTTTATTAATAAACCAACGCTATTTTACTGTAAAAGATCATTTGATTGATAAAACATAAAAGTGCCCGAGTATAGAACTATAGATCCAACTGAAATTTATTAATTAAAAGAGATAATTATTTTCTATTAATTTGCTTGGTTTTTATTTTTGCCCATAAACCTGAATAAACTCTGGATGAGTTTAATTATTTAATAGGAGAAGAGAGTGATATCTTAATTTATTCATCGATTGTTTAATTAATCTGAAATGAATTATTAAAAAATGATTATTTTTCGTTAAATACGCATCATTTTCTCCTATTAATTAAATAAATTTTCAATGACGTATTTAATTGGTAGAAGATTACAAAGAAGGGGACGTTTGATTGGGGGTTATATAAGATTACTGGGGTAATGTTATTTTATATTACTTGATTACCATGTTTGGTTGTCAAGTAATATAAGATACTGGTAATCTTTATTCAGAGGTAATATAATTATCTCAATTTTTTTAGGTATTCTGAGATTATCAGGGTTATCTTTTTTTGTTACAATCTTATCTCTTATTAATAAAAATTTTGGACAATAATACCCCTACTTTAAAACAAATTTACATTAATATCCTATTTCAATTTTACCCTTTTTAATTAAAATTTTGGACAATAATGCCCTTATATTTAAAATAATTTACAAACAATCACTGCCACCCAGCCACCACCGCCGACAGCGGGCCAACCACCATGGGCCACCACCGAAAAATCACCGAAGTCCTTAAAAAAGAACGAGACTCAGTGGGAGACTCCGGGAGGCTTCGATATGGCCGTTTCCGGCCATATCAGGCCAGATCTGGCATTTGGCCATCAATATGGCCGGAAACAGCTATATCGAAGCCTCTTCATCACGGTCAGCTGCTGATGGGGACTTTCGGAGACTTCCGACGGTGGTATGTGGTGGCGGTAGGTGGTGGGAGTGATTTCGTAATAAATTAAAGTTTTATATAAGTGGGGGTGTTTTAACTAAATATGAAATATCGGGGGTTAAATAAATTATTCAAAAATTAATAATAAAAATAATATTATATTAATATTTGAAAAGAGGACAATTTGATAATTTAAATAACATATCTACCAATTTATTCTCCATAACCAAATATATTAATATAATATACTCACCAACTAACCAAACACATTTTTCTAAAGATTTCTAGTAATCTTATAAAGTAATCTATCTTTTTAGTAATCCAACATTCCCAATAATCTAACATTTCTAAACCAAACGCGCCTGAGGTAAAATCTTTAATCCTTATTTATGACTTAGTCAATTTGAAATTAGTTATTACAAATTGTAATTTTTCATTTTTAACAGACCCTAATCTACAAAAGCCAATCATCTGACAGGGGCTGCCGTGTCACTTCTAAGTTTTGCTGGAGCCAAGTTACTTTCCCAAACGGACTGAAGCTTAACTCTACTCTACTGGATGATCCCAACCCAGCCCATGACTAGAATAAACCAAGCCCACTATCCAAACAGTCCGTAGACTTCTAAACCCCTACTGGCCGACGCCCACCCGACCTTTAGCTGGCCAACCGCTAATCCACATTCCGGTTATCAACCGCGAAACACCGTACTTACCTCTTTTCTGCAAATGGTATTAAGCGTTAGAATCACAAAGCTATGGTGCTCTCAACGATCACTCTTCGCCACTTCTCATCGCCTCTGTGTCAAACTCCCTTTCTCATCTTTATCTAAATCCAAGGTTCGCTTGAACATGCATCCTTTATGCTCTGTTTGGTTTCCGAGAAGATGTTGGAAAAGAAACCAAAAACAACAAAAGATAATTTAAATTCGGATAAATATTATTTACCTCAAAATTATCACTAAAATAAGTCAAAATTAACTGCATTAACATAGAGAGCAATCATGTATACTGTAATCTGTTGAATGTGATTTAGAATTCAAAATCACGTTGTCCCACGAGTTTAACTTTAACTATATCCCCATAGCATATGTTTAGTTATCGAGAAATGTTGGAACTGAAAAGAATGGAGGAGAATAAGTGTAACTCAACCATTTTTGAAAGTGTTTTCTTTTATTGTTCTTGAAAAATGAAATAGCATACTCATAGAATCGTTCATTCGGGTTAATAGTGTGTATATTTGTGTGGTATTTCTGATGAAATTCCGAGTTCAGCTACGTTATTGGGATTTTGTGTCAGGTATTGTATTCTGTTAATGAGGAATGTGATGATGATTTTTTGCCGTGGTTGGAGAGGAAAGCTGGAGTTGAGATTTCGTCTGCACTTTCTATTGCGAAATCTGCATATGGCAGGTTCGTACACATGCCTTTGTTGCAAATTTCTGATTTGTGTCTGTTTTTCATTCAGTTAGCGTGCTTATTACTTAAATGTAGGTTTTACTGAAAAATAGGCAGTATGATTTCCAGGATAAGAATTTCCTTTTTCATATTTATCTTTAGTTGGAAGTAGTTTTAGCATACAAAGTTAAAAAATTCTTGACCAATCCTTTGTGGCTAGAGAGCTTAGCTCAATGTAACCACTTCTATTGTGCAATGATTGGTTATTAGTTGTTAGATAGAGATTTTGCAAGGTTTCCTGCTGTTATTGACAATGGGATTTTTCTTTATCTCAATTCTTAATGTATCATGTCTACACAAACTGCAGACTATTGGTTGTTGTTCATCATAAAATGTAGCTTTACCAGCTATAATTATCAGGTGCTATGCCAAAGCACCAACTTGTTTTGGATTCTTATTGGATATAAGACTGGTGTACATATGTTTCTTGTGCAATGAACTACTGCCTCATTGGTTCAGTTTGTGCAAATCATCTTGTAGTGTGGGTTGTGCTCATTTATTTCTACAATTCCTTGCTCACCACTGAACAGGAAACATTTAAAGAAGTCATTGGTTGTTTGTTTTCCTGATTTTGACAATGAGCAAGCACCTGTTCTTTCTTTTGATTTAGGAATGAGAAGGGTTTATGTGCTGTAAGCTGTAACACTGTGAATTGCATATTCTCACAGAAAATATTGAATTTCTGCTGCAAAAGATGTTGGTTGTTGCTTACGTACTCTTGTCTTGGGCATCATTACAGAACTTCTGTTATTTTATTTTATTTTTTTCTTAATTTAACCATGCAGATCACTATTTGCTTCAAAGAAGATACGGACTGGAGACTGTATATTGAGAGTTCCTTACAATGTGGTAAACTTTTCTTTCCATACTTGTCAATAACTAGTCTTTGATATGCTTTACTAAACTCATCTAGGTGTATCTCATGGCATTGACTGGTGAGTATATTAAACTGCACAGCATATTTGTCTTGATTTTTCAGCAAATAGCACCAGATAATCTTCTTCCAAAAATCCGATCTTTGTTAGGTGATGAAGTGGGCAATGTTGCAAAGGTTGCTATTGTCATCTTATTTGAGCAGAAATTAAACCAGGTAATATGATTTACTTTATTTGAACTTTGTCTGAAAAATTAAATATCTGTTAAAGGACCATTATGTTGTATATTTGGGTAGATATTTTTTCCATGCATTTGTTTTTGCATCATTATTTTTAGGTTACATGATAAAATATATAAAAAATGCATACATCTAAATTACTTCTTTGCTATCTTCTGTGGCAGGATTCGGAGTGGGCCCCTTACATCGGTAGACTTCCTCAGCTTGGGGAAATGCATAACACAGTAAATGTTTATATTTTCATATGAATTTATTGATGTCTCTTCTTTATTATTGAAAAACCATAAACCTTGTTAAAGGTGTATTACTTCTCATTTATAAATGTATTAAAAGTAGTGATGCCTGTTTTTTCCTTCTTCAATGAAGATTGTCTTGCTCTTACCATATTTCTTCATTTCTGTCAGAACATCTGATTTTGATTCATTGCGAAACAGTGTTTTCACATCATCAACCTTTCCTATACCTGATATATGGTTGTAAGCATTGAATAAAGTAGTTTACAATTTTCAAGATAAATAGCATGCTCATATATGAAATCATTGCAGATATTCTGGAGTGAAGATGAGTTAGATATGGTTCGTCAAAGTTCATTATATCAAGAAACAGTCAATAAAAATATTCAAATTGAAAAAGTTTTTTTGGCAATTAAACAAGTAAGTACATTTTGATTTTGCTGTTTATTCATAGCGTTTACTCTGTAGTAGCTAATTGATACAATTGTTATCATTGTTCTCTGGCCTTGGAAGTTGCAAGTATGATGAAATATCTTTTACCATTTCAGGCTCTTGAACACTTCCCTGAAGTTGATCATATCACACTAAAGGATTTCATGCATGCATATGCTTTAGGTAAGCAATTTCATTTGAGTATACAATCAAACTCTGATTCTTTTCTGAATTCCTTTGGAGGCTTCATATGTATTCTTCTTGTTTATCATAAAGTCTGTTTGATGAAATATTGGGGTACTCATTTCTTCAGTTGAGTTGATTGTGCTTGTTCACAAAACAAAAGCTAGATCATTTCTGACGGGGTACATGGAATTGGCTTTGTCTCTAGGGATAGTTCTTCTTCATGTTTACACATTCAGTTTGCTGCTGTAGTAATTACACTAGTTTTCATAGAGTTCGAGTGCATCTTTGTAGACTCTTATCTTTGCATAAATTATTATGACATTATAAGGCTTGTGAAACAATTTTTATGAGATTTCAAGCTGTGACCAAAATTGCTGCCCCCAAATTGTATATGAAACCCTCTAGCCTTTTGTGGGCAACTGATAACTAAAGAAGTTGAAATTTCAATGTAATCAGTAGATATCCGAACTTGCGTTCTTCTTTGGCACAAATATGCTTCAATAAGCCCCATTGTAGATTGATCAGCTCTGGCATCTTGAAAAACCTATCATATTTCAGATTCTGGTCCTATGGAATTATCTTGTCATGCACATCTCCAGTTGAAACTTTTGCGTAAAATTGGTTCTAGTTAAAACCTATTTTTCTTTTTTCTTTGTACCTTTATTTTTTCTTATTATAAAGTGATGTACTGTTGAGGTTCTGCTATGATGTGGCTTATCTCAGTAACCTCCATTTCAGTGTGCAATGCCAACGGTGGATGTCTTCATTTTTACACTTAATGGCTTATTGTTTTCTGAGTTTCTAAGTACTATGTTTTCTAATGCGGTCCTCGTTTGCCTATTTTTGTGTTTTGTAATCTGGTCTCCATTAGCCTCTCAGTTTTCCTGTTTATTCTCTCCTCACTTTTGCATGTATTTAAAATCTAATGAGTTTTTGACTGGTTTGGTATGATGTTCCAGTTGAATCTCGAGCATGGGGAAGCACAAAGGGCGTGTCTCTGGTATCATTTTTTTTAAAGAGGCCATATGCAGAAAAATTTCACATTTTCATCATTTGTGGATTTTCTTTAAGTATATTAATACTTTAAGTGATTAAATTATTCTTTAGATTCCATTTGCAGATTTTTTTAATCATGATGGGCTTTCAAAAGCAGTTGTATTAAATGATGATGACAAACAATTGTCGGAGGTATATATCACTTTCCTTCTTCATTTTTCCACCATCTATTAGGGGAAATTGTATAATACTAGACTCTTTTGTCTGCCCTCTTATGTTATATATTTAGTGTTTCTTAAATCAGTATGTGCTTGTTTTTAAGGTTACAACAGAATAGGTCTAGACACAGATTGGTTCCCATGAAAAATTGCTGTTGTTCCTATTGCTGTGAAGGCAGAAAATCCACATTGGAGCTAATTTTGCATGTTTTGATGGGATTATGAGAAACATCCATCTCTAAATATAATTCCTTGAATTTATCGGTGCAGGCCTTTGCTGATCGCGATTATGCACCTAGTGAAGAGGTCAGATGCTTCTTAATAAAATATTTTCTTTTCTTCTATGCAAATAATCATGCTTACCCTCTAAATTTTTTTTCCCCTTCCGTTTTAAAAAAAAAAATGAGTGTTTTGTGGTTCTTGTTGTAATGATATTCAAGAATGTGTACAATCTGATGTTTATATTCTGGAGTTCACTTGGTACACTTGTCCAGGTACTGATAAGATACGGAAAATTCCCAAACGCTACATTGCTGTTGGATTTTGGTTTTACGCTTCCTTACAATAGGCATGATGAGGTTGGCTTTATGAAGTTTGCTGTGGTTTTTTATAGTGATGTGATGAATTTGACAATATTTAGACTCATGCCATATTTGTCTATCAATATAGACTGGTGTATTTATTTTGTTTAGAATTAGTGTCTTTGCTATGCCACTATTTATTAGCCGGGTATTTTATAACAGAGTATGTTTATATCTGGTAACAGTCGTTAACCAAACCTTGTTTCATTTTTTAAATTTATGAACGTAATAAGTTTTATGAAATGATGTTGGTGGCTTTCAGGTCCAGATCCATATTAATATACCCGATCATGATCCTCTACGTGAAATGAAGTTGGAACTTTTGCAAAGACATCGTCTACCATGCATTAAAGATGTCAATGGGTTCAACTCTTCTAGGGATTCTTTCACAATCAAGTTGGTATTGGTGCTTGGTTCTTTTTGTCTTAACACAGATTTCTGTTTAGCATTAAGATCACATCCTGTGATACCTAATGGAATCAACAGTACACATAATTACAGTAAAGCTCAAGTTCTGAAAATAAAAATGCTTCAAGGAGTACTGGTTGTCTGATATATAATTGTGCTGCTATGTGGAACTAAAAGATAGCGTGTGCCTCTTAGTATGATAGGAACAGTCTTGATTTCTGCTTTTGTAGTTTTTACTGAAGTGGGTACCAAGAAATAAGGGATTAAAGTCAATGTGATTGTATCTGCAACAGATCTTTGAAAAATGTGTTATATCGGTTTTAATTAGATAATTTTACAGTTTCTGTATTAGCTGAATAATATGATTGCTTCATCTTCTAAAAACAGAAAAAATGGCACATATTTGAAATATCGGCCAACATTTTCTTCACTAATATGTTGTCAAGTGAACCACTTATATTTTAAAATAACTAGTGAAAATGCTTATGTTAGACCATTTGATGACTTCAATATATAGGGAAATAAAGTATGCCGGAGGAAAAGGGAAGGGTATTCCACAATCACTTCGGGCATTTGCTCGTATTCTAAGTTGCTCCACCCCTCAAGGTCTTTAAAGCATTTTATTTCTTTGTATGCCGTTCAATTTATTTCAGAACTGGTATTCTACTTGGGCCATGCAAACCTCCTCTTACCATTTCTTGGTTTAATAATTCAGAACTCTGTGGTCTGGTCACAGAAGCTGAAAAAAATGATGGTCGGCTGGCTCGGCATCCTTTTAGAAACAGCGGCCAAGAGATCCTGGCGCATAAAATCCTTTTGTCAGAAATCACTAGATTAATTGAGGAATACAATGCTTCTATTGAGGTAGTACTACATAATTTCTTAGCTCATTTATTGGATGAGGCTATTTTTTTGAGGTTCTGGAAACAAGTATTAAACAATTACATATTTTCAAACCTGCACACTCGTAATATTCTTAATTTTCCCATGGAGAAGATACAGACCCATCTGTCTAGTATTAGTGATGTTCAGTTGTGTGATGAAGGAGCAGAGAGTATTAACTAAACTTTATGGGGTTGTCTCTTGCAGCAAATATTAAACAATTACATTGCCTGAAGTTTCACTGCCTTTGTAGTTTCATTTATTTTGAATTCTGCATGTATTTGCAGTCCTTGGAGCATGTTCTGTCTCCTCCAACATGCAAAAGATTTGCTCTCCGAAAGAAAATGGCTCAAGATCTTCTCGTTGGTGAGCTTCGTGTCCTCGAGTCTGCATCTGCTTGGCTGAAGAATTATTGTGCAACCTTGACATCTACATTTAACCTTTAGTAATGACATAACTCATCAAAGATCTATCCATGGAGAAGGGAAAAAAGAACATAATGCCACACTGAACTACAGATCAGCTTCAATTTATACAAAATATCACAGCGAGCCACANAAACTAGAAAGGGAGATGGTGGTAATGCAAACTGGGAAGTGAAGCACCGAACCTGGTAATGGATTATCAGAAACTGAAATGGTGGTGATGGATATTGAGAAAGTGAAGCACTGAAAATGGTTATGTCAATTGAGAACTGAAGCACGAAGCTGGTAGTGAGGATGCAGTGATACTGAGAAAGTGAAATGGTGAAACAGTGAGGATGCAGTGAAAAAAAAATGAAAAAACAAACTGTAACGGTCAGAAAACATGTCAGGTTAGTTGTCAGGATTCCATTATCAGGGTAGGATTCTGTAAATAATAAAACAAACAACATTTCAAAAATCTGGTCTAAAATGCAGATAAAAATAGTTAGCCAAACATGCAGTAAATCACTTTCAAAATACCAAAAATACAAACCCAAACTATTTCTCCCCAAATTTCCATTCAATCTTGAAAACCTAGCCATCACATTCTCCAATCACACCCCGACCAGGTCTCCGCCGTCTACCCTTCAAATATTCCTCCTCCACCACGCCGGCCAATCTCAGCCGTGGCCACTGACAAACGCAGCTATTCCACCGCACCAGGTCGCCGACCGTCCACCCCGCCACCACTACCACCACCACCACCAAACTTAGTCATAGCAATACCTCCTCCATACTGTAAAACCGACCTGCACTTTTAAAAGGTAGAAAATCCAAAAACAGATTAACAACACCAAACACCCATGCTGTGTTCAAATCTCTATGCTTATGTTTATTAAAAGAGTAATACTAGTCTTACAAAGAGTCAAATTCAACCCTTGAATTCATGATTGCCTCTTTTTTTCTCTCTTTTTCTTTTTTTTAAGGGTTGGATTTGACTCTTTGTAAGACTAGTATTACTCTTAATAAAAAAGCTAACATTATTTGGTTTGTCTTGTTTTGTTTTCATATCATTATTAGCTTCACCATTTGCTTCATATGTATTTGAATTGAATTTTTTATCAGAATACTAAAAAGCCAAAGACACAGAGAAGTAGCTTTCATGGCTTCAACCACTGCTGCAAATCACGTTATTCCTTTTGCTGAGCCAGAAGGTGCCTTAACTTCTATGTTTCTTTTATAAGAAATTCTAATATGTTTTTCGAGTAGTTGGTGTTTCTTGTTGTGTTGTTTGATGCGGGGTTGAACAAAATTAGATAGCTTTACTAGTCTTCGTTGTGGTGTCACTTGTTTAAGAATCTTCTCCATCCACTAATCCCTATCTAGTGAATGATGAAGAAAACCTCTCTTTGTATTGACTGGTCTGAAGCCGTTAGGGGCCTCTACTTGTTTCTCGGTTTGCCGTTTAATGGTCTTTAGATCGGGCTCTGGGGTTTAGCAAATTTAGTTGTGTATAGAAGGCAATTAAGCCTTTGGCCAAGCCCTTTTTAAGTACTTGACATTGAATATACATTTCAATAGATATGTGAGAAAGTTGCACCCCTCCACGTGTCTTGTGTGGTTTAACTTGAATGATCTTGTTGAAGGTTTCTGGGCTTTTGCCTAACCTGGAGGTCTATGGTGAGAGGTTGACCTTGGTGGATTTGGCGAGTCTTTCTATAGTGTTATTGCGTGTTTTTATGGAAATGGCAAGAATCTGAAAGTGGTATTTAGTTCATCTGTTAGGGGCGAAGTATCAACCCGTCGATACTTGTGTCATGATGCCTTACTGTTTCTGGCACCTGTTTACACAGAATTTGCAATGTGGATTTGAAGCGTGACTTTGCCTTTGTTGTACGTATATCCTTACCATGTTTCATCTCTTCCCTCTCTCTTGCACATGAACACACACAGTCACGCATACAATCTTTATTATTTATTATGTGTCTTGCAAATATGATCTTGTCGTACGCTTCCTTTTCAACATTTGTGATAACAGGAATTTAGTGACCCTTGAGATGCTGATGATGCAAGGTGTAGCTTAAATGGTCGTGATGTTGATGGAAGCCGTATCATTGTGGAATTTGCTAAAGAGGCAAGTATTATAGAAGAATTTTTCTTGAAAAGTTTCCTAGGAGGCTGGTTTTCAGATGCATTCTCTATGACTAAAAGAGGAATTCTATACTGAATATTTCAACATTTTTGTTTAATTCAATATGTCAATATTTATGATTGTCATCCAACTCCGTTGGATTACAATAAATCAAAGTCCAAGAATTTGTCTCGAATTTTTTTAAAAAATTTGTGTTACAAAATGAAGAGTTGGTCTGTGGATTGGGCATCTGTTTTTGTTCTAAAATGAGATTTTGTGCTGTGCAGGGAAAAAAATGGTCAATTTCTACATACATGTGCGGTTCGTCCTGCTGCTGTCTATGGGCCTCGTGAAGAGAGGCAATTTCAAGCGAAGTTAGTTTTGGTGCCTTTCAAAATTGGTGAAGCGAATGTGAAACAAGACTGGATTTATATGGATAATCTCGTACTCGCACTAGTATTGGCGAGCATGGCACTTTTGGATGCATTCTTGGGAAAACTTTCCTTTTACTAAATATATCTGAGTATAGAACTGCCACTTGCATGAGTGTTATTTCTCTGGCAAGTTACTAACATGATGAGAAGGAAGAAGCACGAGCTGCCTTGCACATTCGGCTTTCACCGCCTCTATATTCTGGTATATGCAAAAGTGTAAGATCTAGGGCAGACTGTATAGTAGTAGCTTGTAATTTAGAAGCATTCAAATATAATACTGAGCTTTTAGTATTGACTATGTATCAGAATTTTGGTTTTGTGTAGATAGGTATGATGTTGGTGGAGTTGTGATTTGCGGGTTATCTTTAGGATCCATGAAGGAAGTTGTTTGGCTAAACTTTTGTAATTCTAGGATTTTGTGATTTTGGTAGAGAGATTGCTAACCCAAGTGCCTTGTTTGCGGTTCTGGAAATCTGGCTAGGAAGGATTTGCTAGGATGCTCAATCCAGGGGCCTTATTCCACTGACTCTAGAAATCTGGCTAGAGAGGGTTTGCTGGGCGGAATTTAAGTTAAAAGGCTTGCTTTGATACCATGTCATAAACACAGCAACAAGATGCAAAAGGAGCAACTAGGTTGCTGAAGAAACAAAATGGAAGAAGACTCAAAAAGTCTGTATATTGTATTGTGTTTGGTGTGTTTACAATGAGTTTAATTTATAAGGTATCGAAGAACATTATAAGGAATGTAATCAATGGTGTAATTAAAGTATAATTTAAATAAAGTGATTCCTGGATATCTTGTAATATGCTTGATTCCAAGATGCATGATTTCAACAATCTTTAATTTCATTCCATATTGCATCATGTCTATCTAAAAGATTTTTCATTCAACAATTTTAATTTAGTAAAATTTTCAATGCTTTTCAAATCATTCGATGAAAACTATTAGACATTTGTCATTTGAAACTGTTGATAAACCTTACATAGATCCTTTAAACTTCGACTAGTCTTCTAAGACTCTGAAGTTAACGGCTAAATAAACCTCCAGTAACTATCTCTTATTAGTATTTGTGGGGATTCGAACTCAGAACCTCTTGAGTAATACACCCAAGAGTTCCAAACGAACCGTCAAACTACTTAGAAGTAATTACTCTAATCTCATTACCATGTGGTACTCATTAGAAAATCTAGTATTGATTAATTGTGGAAAGCTTAATCTTAATTTGAGGATGGGATGAGATAATCATCATCAAGACCTACATATCACAAGGCTTCCCCTTTCCCCTATTGGGGGGACTACAAGAGGTGGCAGAATTACCTCAGTGGCTTCTTCAACTTTCTGCTGACACTTTGCAGATTTGTATGTAAGTAATTTATGAAAGATTGTAAACATAAACAATCAAATAAACATAGATCTTAGAACTTAGAACTTCATGATTTTCACAAACAAAATAATTAAATAATTATTGGGAGAAAACATACTTGATCATGAAGCCATGATAATAAACCTTTGAGATAAAATTGATATCTCCTTTCTTACCCCTTTTTATATATAACGCTAAAATTGATAGGAAAAATACGTTAACTCTCATGAGGACCAGTTTATATATGGAGAATAAAAATTAATCTGATATGTCCATCAAATATTCATCCAATGGTTATGATTCATTATTCAATAAGCACATGTAACAATCAAATTTATTTGCACATATAACTTATAAAAGATTATTGCACATGTAACAACAAATTTAAAATAATTAGTAACTGCCAACATATGAATTAAATTCAAATTAGCGGACAATTGATAAGCCACTTCCAACATTTTACATTAGCAATTGTCCAAAATTGTCTTCTCTACCCGAGGATATGCATCGCCTCACTACTGAGACAAAATTAGGCTCCGTTTGGTTCACTTTTTTACACTTTTTAGAAAAGTTTTTTGAAAAAAGTTGAATTGAGCGGGTATCACGATGTAAGATTTGAAAATTAATAAAAATAACCCCTATATTTGTTTATTTACTAAACACCCCTATAATAAAACATTAAAAGTTAACAAAAACACCCCCAACCCACCCATTAAATACAGACAGCCGGCCATCACCACCGGAGGGTGGTCGGAGTCACCGTATCGGCGCATGACCAACTGGATCTTGCCGGTTGTGCACCGATATGTCATTTTCTGGCCATATCCACGATGGATCTGGCCAGAAAATGCCAGATCTACGGCTAGATCTGGCCATTGACCACCAGATCTAGCCGCATTTGCTCGTCAATGACGGCCAAAGATACGGTCGACGTTCATATGTTGGCTGTCGTTGACGACTGGTTACGGTGGCCTTAGATCTGGTCGAAAAATGCTAGATCGACGCACTACCAGTCAGATTTAGCCGATAGTGCGCCATTACACCAGATTCTGGCCATCTTCTGGCAATGGTGGCCAAAATCTGGTAAATGTGGGTTGTTGGGGTGTTTTTGTAATTTCAAAAAAAAAAATTTAAGGGTATTTAATTAAATTAACAAATTTAG